GAAGCTGGGGTGGGGGAGGTGGGGTGGATGAGGATGGGGGGAGCGGGGCCGGAGGCTGGGCTCTGTCCCCACCCCTGTCATTCTTAATGGGGAATTTGCTAGTTTCTCATATTAAAGTTGTCCTGCAAATGAAATGAGAAACAAAAATAAGGAAAAAAAAATAAGTCCATCATCCTGGGTTGTTTTTTTAGCTGGTTTCAGTGCTTAGGGAAGTGAGTTACTTGACAGGAAGCCAGATGGAGAGCATCCCGCAGACAGCAGCAGAATTCTACGCCTCCAAGGAATCATACCGGAAGCTGGTGGCTAACTTGGAACTGATGGTGAACAGGTACAACAAGATCCTAAGGACAGTTCTTGAGGTAGAATACCCTCTAATAGAGAGACAACTTCATGATATTGACTTGCACCTGAAAGATGCAGAAGAGATGCTAAACTGGAAAATGGAAGGTGAGGCTAACTGCTTTAGCACTCTGTTAAATGTAGAAGGTAATGAGTGGCCAAATGAACTTAAACCAGTTACTGTGTTTACCCCAGCCCCAGATATGCAATATTCTATTGATCACCATCCTCAGGCCTACAAAATGGCTAAATTCCCAGATCCTGGCAAAGTGGCAGAGTTGCCACCCAACCCAGCAATAGGGCATGTGCAGGACAATACTGTCTGCCTGCCCCTTGTCCCCCCCCCAACAATTTTCCTTTTCTAGGCCCATATCTGCTTCCCTGTGCTGCCTTGGTTTGGGATTGCAGGTTCAGAAGACTGTCTGTCCAAGGGCAATGTAAATAATGCAGATATCCAGTGGTGACCATTTATCATGAGTTGATGATTTGGAGTTGACTGCTACATAGCAGTCCAGCTTAGTTGTGAGGTCTCTGAAGGAAAGGCACTTGTGCTGGGACAGTTCTTGACTCATCAGTTCTAGGGTGATTTGGGTACTATTTCCAGTGTTGTTACTCCCACAGCAGAATGGAATGTGAACAGGAACGGAGCTCTAAAACCAGTCAGGCTCTAAAGGAGGACAGCACATGCATTGATGCCTGATTATTCTCAGGGACAGTCAATGCAGACCCTTAGATTTTTTTCTCAGAAGGATGAAATAAAAGAATGTGATTAATAACGTACAGTCTATTAGAATGCAGCTTTTTTTCTTTATCCAACAAGCATGAGTTGTTTTAGAGCAGTTAGTGCTGACAAATCCCAGGTCTCTTCATACAGAGCATTTTGAAAATAAAAATTCAAGGTCTCCTGCCTCTTATCTTCCAAGTTAGCCAGCATTTCTTAGTTTCATAGTTTCTAGGGTCAGAAGGGACCTGAGCAGATCATCTAGTCCGACCCCCTGCCATGGCAGGAAGAGCACTGGGGTCAAACGACCCCAGCAAGGTGGTCATCCAACCTCTTCTTAAAAACCCCCAGGGTGGGAGCCTGCACCACCTCACTTGGAAGCTGGTTCCAGACCCTAGCCGCCCTGACTGTGAAGTAGCGCCTCCTGATGTCCAACTTAAACCTTCCCTCTGCCAGCTTGTGACCGTTGTTCCTGGTCACTCCTTGCGGTGCTCGGGGGAACAGGGACTCCCCCAGCGCCTGCTGATCC